CGATGCATTTACGACCAACGTCAACGGACAATATTACGAATATTCAAGGAATTTCGGAACATCGATACGTTGTTACCAACTTTTTTAAAATTGTTAGAGATGAACAGCTGTTTGGTCCGAGTTTGCAGCAATTGATGCAGAAGAATCTACCATCCACTTATTTTACGTGAGAAAGAGTCTCGTTCAATTTTGAAAGTCACAGATTAAATGAATGAAATGAAAGAGACCACGGTCAAGCATTGTTCCAAACTACATTTCATAAACCATAAATTCTCTAGTTTTCTTCCGACTGTTCAACGCTTGAATTATCGAGCTCTAAACGTAAAAATGGTAAGATCGAAGTTATTTGAACTTCGTACGATTTCTATTTTAGCATATGCTTGAATAAATAAGTTTCGATGCGAATTGAAAAAGAACGAAATAAATGAATAAAATCAATCACTTCGACCGATTTGATAGTTCCAGCGTTGAAAATACCGCTCTGTCAATCTTGCAACTTCAGATGCCAGTTGCACAGATTTTATTCAAAATTACAGAAAATTCTCCCCAATTTTCCTTCAGCTTGTAAACAGAAATGGACAATTCGGGGAGAGGAGATACGATTATTCGAGCCTTGCGCTTGGTTTTTATAATTGTTAACAATCGGCAACTATAAAAATGGGGCTCAAATGATCGTATATCTTCTTCCCAAATTATTCATTTTTATTTACAAGCTGAAGAAAAATTACTGTACAATAATTTCTCCCTAATTCGCGCTCAGATTGCGCACAAAAATGCACAATTTGGGAAGAGAAGATACGATTATTCGAGCCTTGCCTTTCGTTTTTATAGTTGTCGACTATAGAATCGACTATAAATATTAATAACTATAAAAACTACAAAACTATAAAATTACTGAACTTGCAAAGAAGCGTACAAAGAAATTTCCAGCCCAAGCGTGTCAAAAGCGATCGCCAATCTCGGTTCACCTTGTACAAGACAAAACAACGATTTCTAATTTGTGATGAACACTGTTCTTTTTTTTTTGCTCCAGCAGATCTGTCATTATTGTTGCATGGCGCGCAAGTGTCCCCGTTGCCCCACAATTCAGCTGCCTCACGTTACTTAACGAGTCTTGCTCGTCGTGTACACGTGATCGTAATCGAATGAAACCCGAGCAGCGCCGCGTAGAGCGCATCAGCGAGAAAAATTGCGTATCATCTGTATCACGGTGTTTGTCTTTCGTCGCAGCAGACCTCGACGACCAGTCGTCGCATTCGAAATTCATGCGCCACGATCCACCTCGGATCGAAGTTACCGCGAAGCTACGCACGAAACGGTAAACATATCTTTCATCTTCGCTAACTTGGCTATACGTAGTTGTCCTAGCGCGACCGACACGCCTCGGTGTTCACGCGGTGTTCATTTGCTTTAATAGTAATCTTTCCTACGCGCTCGATAAAAGCCGTTCTAGTCGCTGCTGCGATTCTCTCGCACCTAGTTAGCCTGCAAACTGTTCGAAAAGCTCTCGTAGATGCGTACAACATCGAATACAAAGTTTTCGTAATTTCGTTCGGGTTTTAAACGATTTTCGAGTGGAACCAGATTGTTCGATTTATAGCGTGTAATGCGAAAATGTAATTCTTTGTATCTATGAAGAAAATTTGTTTCATTTTTGAAGATCGAAGGACATTCGCACTTCGTCGAATCGAGCTTGATAAAACGTCGGTGATATTCGTTTCATTAGAAAATATTCCACCGCCCCTCCACCGTTAATGCAGAAATTTGTTTATAACGTCCATCTTCGCGCACAAAAATCGTCGCCATACTGAAAACAAAAGCGGCAAGACATCGCGGCCGATCTAATAAACGAAGTACAGTAATGTCTCCCTAATTGACGATTGAAGATCGTCCACAAAAATGGACAATTTGGGAAGAGGAGCCTTGCGAATTCGAGCCTTGCGACTCGCTTTTATAGTTACCGATTGTCAACGATTATAAAAACATAGTGCAAAGCCGGAATAATCGTATCTCCTGTTCCCAAATTGTCCATTTTTCTGCACGATCTAAGCGTCAGTTAGGGAGACATTACCGTAAATTATGGCAGGACTTTCGTGCTACGATCTTTGAAGAACGTTTAAGTAAGTTAACCCTTTGCGCTCGAAGCAATTTTAACTGTAAATCTAAAACGATTTTTCCGACATCTACGCTGTCTCTATTTTATACGACAGAGCGCATTTTATGCGTGTGAAATTGAGTCTTGTGATTTATACAACAGCCTATACTTTTAACAATTTTTCAAATCTAAATTTTCTCGATGTAAGAATTATTTTGGAATATGACAAACATATTTTAGCGGTGCCTCGGGGTCGCCAGTCGAGCGCAAAGGGTTAATACGTTCAGCGGTCACGTCGCTCGCATTCGTGTGACACTGATTTTTGCATGACTTTCGAAAATTAACTTTCATTCCATCAGATTCGAACAAACTGAATCATACTAGAATGTCTAGAACGTCGGAGTGATCAAATACGATTCACTACGGTAGCTTCCAACTTTCCAGTTTCCGTTCTATCAATTGAACAGCTTCGATTTCGCGGGGGCAAATTTTCGGGGTCGAGAGTTCGGCACTCGACGCGCGAAACGAAAGAATTTTCGCACGATTCCAACGCTCGCGGTTCGCTTCGCTTTGCTTCGCGCAACTCGCTGGCACGATGGATTTCCTAACCGACCCGAACGGTTTCGTATTTCGCGTGCGAAATCTGGCCGTTGCGCGCGCGGCAAAGTCGTCAATTGTTATCAACAATATATCGCGACCAGCGATCATCGTGTCGGCCGTCCGCGATCACCGGTGGAAGACGAAGATTCCGCGGAAGACGCGTGACTTGGCCCGACATTATATAAATATGCGACGGGCTTCGCGAACAGCTAACATATTGATCCACCCGGCGTCCTCGAAGGCGATGCGTACACGTCCCCGTCCAAGGAAACGCAGAGAAGATTCGCGGCGGAGTCTCGACTCCTGTACTTGTTGCGACGCGCCTAATTGCGATCGCGGGTCCCGGACACCTCGATCGGCATCGAGGGAGACGAAACGGATGGACGGGTCACGCTGCGTCGTCGACGTAATCGAATCCCGTTCGTTCGTCGACGAGACGACGACGACGACGACGACGGTTGCGCGCACGGTTCCATCGGAATCGCGTAATCGGCGAAACGATTCCACGCGGCGCCTCTGGCACAAAGCGTTCATCTGACGGGGAATCCGGTGGCTCCCCCTCGGATGCGCGAATTTTTGGCCAATCAATAAGCACGTTTGTTACGACGTGTCGGGGAAAAAGAACGGCCGACACACACACACACACACACAAAAGAAGAAAAAAGAGCGAGTCCTCCTGGCGGGCACCGCGTAGATCGATAGCCCTCCGATGACGCGCGGGAATCCCAGTGAAACTCGCTCGGAGCACACGGCAAGCCCCGACGCGACGCGACCCGATTCGCCGCCGCCTTCCTTTTCGAGAATCCATATCAGAGTGGAAACGAGGCCCGGCCTGGAAAGGATCGCGCCTGGAAAATGTCCGCGCCGTGGAAACTGGGCGAAAGGAACGAACGAACGGATCGGGAAAGAAGACCGCGGATCGCGATCGCGTAGAAAAGAGCGACGACGACGACGACGATGACGCTCGGAGCGATCCGACCTAATCGCTTCGACCTAAATTCCACGCGCGCGGCGCGGACGTCATCGGGAAAAGGGGGCGAGGAGGTGAGAACGCGCGCGGAAGGGTCTCGCGGAATCGTTAAGAGAAAACCGTGCGTGCGACGGCGACGTCGACGGCGACGTCGACGGCGGAGGCCCGGTGTGCCCGCGGGACAGTGTAAATACGTCGAGGAAACGATCGCGCGGAAATCGTGAGACCGACGGACGTCTTCGCGCGCGGTTCTCGCGGCCTGGACACTAAGTTCACGCGGGGGAGCCGGGGGAGGAGGGGGGGTGGTGGTGTCGGGTGGTCGAAATGAAATCCGCAGTTGCGGACGGGGGACTCTATGACTGACCTGGTTCTCGGAGTTGAGCAGCTTCAGCTGTTCGTTGATCAGGCTGTACTTGGTGCTCTCCTCCTTCCTCAACGCTCTCTCCTTCTTAAGCTCGGGACTCCAGAAGGTCTTGATGCTGTGCATCGAGCTGCCGAGCTTTTGGTTCGTCAGCTCGAGCTCCTTCTTGAGGTTCCCGAGCTCTCGTTGGAGATCGTTGTTCTGGTTTTGTAGCTCGCCGATGTAGCCGCCGCTGTCCCGCAGCATGTGCGGATTAGGGCTCTGCCTGGCCGATCTCGATCCGTACATTTCATCCTCGAGGTAGAGTCCACGGTCCCGACTGCGCTCCCGTATAGGCACGAACTCGCGATCGTGTTCGAGAACCCCCGCTGACGCGCGATCGAGGCTGGTGTACCTCGCCGACATGCCCGCCGAGCTGGACATGGCGGGTCTCGAGGCGCTTCTGGATCTGTGATGTCCGCCCCCACCGCCCCCGGTTGACATACTCCTACCCCTCTCCTCGAGCATCACGGGACTGCCGAGGTCCTCGTCGCGGGAGTAGTACGGGCTGCCCAGCTGATGGTGATGGTAGCTGCCGAATCCGAGGTGCTCCGGCGAGTTGTTCCCGCTACGAGTGCCTCTCTTGCGACCCAACGGGCTACCGCGACCGCTCGCGTAGTTCCGCGACGGGCTACGGTCGACCGTCGGCAGCTCGGCCACGCGACGACTGCTCCGAGGCGAACGTGTGCCGCCTCCTGGCCCGACTACTCCGCTGCCGCTGGAGTACGGGTCCCGAGACATCCTTTCCGGATACGTTTTGACGAATTTCGCGGAACTCTCACGATTCGAAATTCACGGTCTCGCGTTTTCCTCCTCCTCGCTCTCTCTCTCTTATTCTCTTTTTCTCTCTCTCTCTCTCTCTCTTTCTCTTTTTCTCTCTTTTTCTATATATATATATATATAGATATATATAATTTTCTTTGTCTCTCTCGCAATTCCGTGAGTTGGCTTCTCTTGTGTAAATTATCTTATATTTTGGTCGTGTGTCGTATATATTCTTCCGCTCTCCGCGGTTAAGTTCGCTTCTTTCTGCTCTAATCTGTCAGTCTTCTGAGTTATCCTTTTTTTTTGTTTTTTTTTGTTTTGTTTTGTTCGATAAGACAACGGGCTCTACGAATCGGTGAAAAATTGGTGCCCCGGTCGTCTCTCTCTCTCTCTCTCTTTTTATGGTGCTTCGTCTCTAGCAGCTAGTTACCGTGACGATGATATTCTACGCGATGGGACGATCCTTCACGGATACTCTGTGATTTCCTAATTCTAGGTCCTTCGATCCTCGACCCCCTCCCCTGTGGTTATTTCTCATCCATGGACGAGCGTCTCTTCGACATCTTCCCTCCACTCTTTTTCTCTGTCTCTCTCGCTCGCTCTCTCTTATCTCTTTCTCTCTCCGGAGGAACGGAGAGTACACGATCAGGCACGCGTGTAGATCCTCGGTGTTCCGTGCGTTTCCACTCGGTCGTCCGTGACTTGCCCCGTGCCGAACAATGGCCAGTCGCCGCGAATCGACCGGTCCCAAGAAGCCGAGTCGCCCGATTTCGGGCGCAACGTGGCGGCGTGCCGGCGTGCGAGCCGTTCTACTCTACGCGGAATCCTCGGCACGCGAACGGCGGGCATCGACAACGCCTAGCCAAAACTAGCGTCGATCGACTGTACGGTACGCGCTCGGCGATCGATCAGGTCGCTCGAACGGATCCAGCTTCGTTGTGACGGGCTTTTCGAGGGGCGTGCGAACCGGGCGGGCAGGAAAAGTAGCGTTCAGTCGGTCTGTCGGTGAGCGAAGTAAGTCAGTCAGTCGGTCGGTCGGTCGGTCGGCTCGCGATCCTCTTCCGTGTTCCACGCCGGGGACGATCCCGAGAGACACACGTTTGGTCGCACGCGTGTGGCTCGTGTGTCGCGCGTGTGCGAATGTGTGCGTGAGGTCACGACCCTCGTACTCGACGATCGATCTTTGACCTTCTTTCGCCGGCAAAGCCCATCGAGTGGCGGAGATGAATCGAGAGAGATCGAGGGGTGGTGGTGGTGGGCGGAGGGCTCGCTCTGGCAGGTGCGGCAGGGGGCCCCGGGGGGTGTGTGTGGAGAGAGAGAGAAAGAGAGGACGATCCCGTTTCCCTCGAATCCGTGCTCTCCGGGACCGATACGTACACCCGTGTCCGCTCGCGTTTCTTCCCTCTTTCGCCGCGTCTGCCGATCTCTCCTCTCTCCCTCGTCCTCCGGCGTCGGATCCTCAGGACGAGGGTGAGTCCTCCCTGCGATCGTTCGACTCGCGCGACCCTCGGCGCGTGCGTGAGTGCGCGCGTACGCGAGTATTTTACGCGCGTATGTTTACCAGCCGCGAGTCTACGCGCGGCGCGGCGTCCCCGTTTCGCGAAACCCGCACCTCGACTCCCTCCTTATCGATCTCATCCTCGCTTCCGTCTCTTCTCTCTGGTCCCGTCGTCGCGTCGTCTCGTCCCGTCCCGTTCCCGTCCCGTTCCCGTCCCGTTCCCGTCACGTCCCGTCCCGTCCCGTCTCGTCTCGTCTCGTCTCGAATCCGATGCTGCTGCCGCTGCCGCCGAAGCTGCCACCGTTGCCGCCGCCGATGCTGCCGCCGATGCTGCCGCCGCCGCTCCCTCGAACAACCCGGCTTCTCCTCTTCCTCTTCCTCTTCGTTTCCTCGCTTTCCTCTCGTCGCGTTTCCCGATTCTCACAGGGACGCCGGCGACAACGACGACCAAGACCAACGTTCGACCGACCGATCCAACCTACCGCCCGAACCTCCACTATCCACCATCCACCACGACTTGGCACCGCCACTTCCGTGCACCACTCTCTTTCTCTCCCCCCCTCTGTCTTCTCCGTCTTCCTCTCTACCGGCGTCTTCTCTCTCGCCGGCCTCCTCTCTGTCTCTCCTCTCCCCGTTTCTCTTCGCTACGTGTGCCGCCACCAGTCGCCGACGCGCACACACCTACGCACACACCCTCTGTCTCTCCTTTTCTCCCTCGCCGCGACTCTCGCCCCGTGCTCGTCGCTCCTACTCTCCGTTCGCCACCCTTTCTCCGGATCGAGCCGTCCGACGACCGGCGTCCCGGTGTCCCGAATCAGCCGCGCGCCGTGTCCGTCCCGACGCCGAAAACGTCGTGCCGAAAATGCCGGAAACCAAAACTCGGGCCGGTGGTGCGGCGCGTCCGTAGCGAGAGAAGCACAACAACACGCGAGCAGCTACCCCGGTGGAAGAAGAAGAAGAAGCGTGCCGGAAGAAGACGCGCTCTCGAACCAAGCCGACCAACCACTCTTCGCACCAAACGCAAACGGAGAGCCGCGCCACCACGGAACCGCGCGCACTGACAGACTACTCTAATATGAGCCGAGTGAAACACCCTTTCGCTTCACCGCCGCCGGCTCCACGCTCTCTCTCTTTCTCTCGCTCTCGCTCTCTCGCTCGCTCTCCTCCGCCGTCTCTCTCCCACGCTCTCGCCCGGTCTCTCTACCTTCTCCCTCTATCTTATCCGCCGGTCTCTCACTCTGGTTCACCAACCACCACCACCACCACCATCCACCGCCAACAACGCCGCCGCCGTTGCCGCCGCCGCTGTCAAAGCTCCCTATCCCCCCGTACACGAGCGCGTCGCGTGTACGCACGCCACTACGAAACTCTCACCACACCACCCGGCTACTACTACTAGCGCCGATTAAAGTCGACCGCGCCGGCAGCGCCCTCGGCCGACGTCATCGGCGTCGTTTACGACCGACTACTACTATCACCGCACCGGCGCCTCCGCTCGATTCCGCTACGAAACCACCCCTCTCTACACCGGCGGCCCGAACTTCCCCGAGGCTGAATCTGCCGGCTCTCTGCCCCTACCGTCGCAGCCTCGCTCGCACCGGAACCCTCCCTATCGCGCAGATGCGACCGTGCGGATCCATGCTGTCGCGGCGCGCAGCATCGCCGGATTTTCGGACGACAGGGGAACCCCTTCGTTTGCCTGCTCTCGTTCACATTTATTTATACATTCTTCACGATTCTTCGCCCCTTCCTCCCCTTGTTGCATCGTCGGCCCTGGGCGACACCTGGCTCGCCACGGCGGAACGCTCGCTGAAATCGAGACGGATATGGGAGACCGGCGGAAACGCGTAAAGAAATTCGCATGATCGCGTCGCGTGCACGCGTACCGAGCCGGGGACGATGAGATCCGCGCTCTGTGAAGTCGGCGAACGGCGAAGCGGGTTTTCATTCGCCGCTTTCCGCACCGCTTTCCGTTGCTTTGTCGCTCCGTCGTCCGGTCGTTTACAGGGCAGCCGGTTAAATTTGACGGATCAAGTTGCCGGAGAGAACTTGGAAGAGAACTTCAGAGGGAACTCGAGAGAAAATTCGAGAGAGAACTCGAGAGAGAACAGCGTCGCCGGGAGAATCCGGCTTTCGGTTCTCCCGATTCGAATGTTCTTCGTTCGGAATCGGTGAATTCTTGTTTAAAGACGGATCAAGTTGCCGGAGAGAACTTGAGAGAGAATTCGAGAGAGAACAGCGTCGCGAGGGAATTCGGCTTTCGGTTCTCCCGGTTCGGAAGTTCTGCGTTCAGAATCGGCGAATTTTTGTTTAAATTTGACGGATCAAGTTGCCGGAGAGAACTCGAGAGGGAACTTCAGAGAGAACTTGAGAGAGAACTCGACAGAGAACTCGAGAGAGAACAGCGTCGCGAGGGAATCCGGCTTTCGGTTCTCCCGGTTCGGAAGTTCTGCGTTCGGAATCGGCGAATTTTTGTTTAAATTTGACGGATCAAGTTGCAAGAGAGAACTCAAGAGAGAACTCAAGAGAGAACTTGAGAAATAACTCGAGAGAGAATTCGAGAGAGAACAGCGTCGCGAGGGAATCCGGCTTTCGGTTCTCCCGGTTTGCAAGTTCTGCGTTCGGAATCGGCGAATTTTTGTTTAAATTTGACGGATCAAGTTGCAAGAGAGAACTCAAGAGAGAACTCAAGAGAGAACTTGAGAGAGAACTTGAGAGAGAACTCGACAGAGAATTCGAGAGAGAACAGCGTCGCGAGGGAATCCGGCTTTCGGTTCTCCCGGTTCGGAAGTTCTGCGTTCGGAATCGGCGAATTTTTGTTTAAATTTGACGGATCAAGTTGCAAGAGAGAACTCAAGAGAGAACTCAAGAGAGAACTTGAGAAATAACTCGAGAGAGAATTCGAGAGAGAACAGCGTCGCGAAGGAATCCATCCGGCTTTCGGTTCTCCCAGTTCTCAAGTCCTGCGTTCGGAATCGGCGAATTTTTGTTTATTCGGTATACTATAGGCAGAAGAGAGTATGCTCTCGAGGAGAAAGGACGCGCGAGCACCCCTCTGTCGCGTTTCGCCGGTGCCGCCTTTTTTTATCTTGGACACGAGTGTCCTCATTACAGAGCTCGAGCCGGGGCGACTTTTTTTCCCCCTTAGTTTTCTCCTCGAATAGCGGCCGCATTCATTCATCTTCTGGCCGGCATTCCTGTTTGAAGGACGGCCTGATTCTAATTCTTGACCACCCCGAACACATCCCCCTTGACCTCCCTCGTTAGAATGTAGAACGGAGCCGCGTATTTTGTTGAGCTGCCAGGGTGGCAGAACCTTGAAACGGCCGCGCGTCACCTGTGAAACAGAAAAACAAGCGAAAAACGGGCGTACGCGTACCGTGCACGCACACGAACAACCACCGTTCCCGGATAAATCGCGGCGGGCGGTTAACGCCTACCAAGGTAGCCAGAGCCGGCACGTGCTCGATTTTACGTATAGGAAACGTTTTTATCTACATAACACGACTCTGTCGTCGACCCGGTGTACGACATCGCAATCAATGAAGCTACGATTCACCGAGCAGTGCCGTACCAATGCGTGGCTCCTTGGCGGCCGTGGTGTCTCTTCCGAAACCAGAAGCATCGTAGAATCTTTCGATTGTTTCAATTTTAGGTTCGAATGTTCGAGGGTGTCGGAGATTCGCCGGTGGAAATTGTTGCGAAATTCTGCCGAGTAGCTGCTTCGACTTTTTATCGAATATCGTTTGCGCTCTGTTCGCAGAATATTTCCTGAGAGCTTCGAAAATGGCGGTGCACGAAATGTCCTGTCACAGTTTTCCGCCATTTTCGTTCTACGATATGGTGTGTTTTATTCGTGATGTTAAATTTTTAAACGAATGCACCAAATCGCAACACGATTGTAAAGAAATGAATTGTCTTAACCCTTTGTATGGTCGAGACTATTTTAACTTCAGTATGAAGACGTTATTTGCATTTGTTATGATTGTTTTTATTTGACACGTGTGATATTGAACGTGCATGATCGTAGCACGCTTCTATTATTTATCAATTTATCGAGTACAGACAAATTTAATAATGTGAAAATTATTTTGAAAATAGTGCAGCAATTCTTTTTGGAGCCACTCGAGTGCAAAGGGTTAACTCTTTGGGGCAAAGGATTTTAGAAAATAGGCCCATGTTGCACAGAAATTTTATCGCGTTTCAAATTAAACGAAAGTGGTATATTCTTATTAACGAAGAAATCGCATAATATAAAAGCATATAAAAATAATAATAATTCAATTCAATTTAATTTATATTAACATATA